TGCTGTTTTTGCGAGTGTTTATCATGCGATGTAACGGCAGTTGGGAACTGCTCAAATGCGGTTTCGCATGAACGCTCAGCCATGGCAAAATCATGCTTTGCACTCAGCAGAAGTGCGAGAAGATGCCATAAGGACACTAGATCGCGTTCCCTTGCAAGGTCTGCCTGATTGGTGGGATGGGTGTTGGATGTCAGTGCTGATTTGACGTAGTCGATTGCACCATCCAGGTCACGATCTTCCGCCAGCACAAGGGCAAGAGTGTATAGTGACGAGTAATTTAACTCATCTTCCAGTTCTGGAGCAATGCTTCTTTCTAGATATTCAATTGCTTCGGCTCGAATGTCATCCCGAGCCTCGTTTACTGGCGTCCAGTAAGCCCAGTTCGCAAGTCCAATACCGATGGCCCTGTATGCCATGGCAAGGACCGCAGGAGGGACGTCTCCGGAATATGGCGGGTTTGTTGTTTGCGCATCAGGCTGCTGGTCATTCTGTTGGCCACTGGCGTTTTCCTGAGCATGCTTATCAACGACCTTCTGGATGAGCGCGACCAGATCCTTCGCTTTCTCCGCTTCCTTCTCCGAGCCAAAGCAGCACAGCATGCTAACTCCTTCAGAGAGAGTTCTCAATAAAGTACCGTCATCCTCGAGTTCACCCGATTCTGCTGCTTTTTCCGCGCGCTCTTTGGCACTGATGACAATCTCTATGTACGAGTCGAGAGCTTTGAGTGCGAGATCGAATTCCGCCACTGCGGAGTGGACGTGGAACAGGCGCCGAAGAATCAAGTGGGAGTGGTACGTCTTAGTAGCAGCACGGTATAACATCTAATACAATGCTTGTTAGTACGCACGGCGTTGGCCCATAGGAATGACTTTAGCACTTACATCAAGAACATTCCGTGAGACAGCGCTTTGGCCTCCTTCCCCGAGATCTTCATCCCGCCAGTGTCCCCCACAGAATACTTCCCAATTCGCAATTATTTGCTCAACCCACTCCTCGACTTGCGAATTCGTGCTATTTGCCGTGGGAAATATGGCACTTTGTAGGAGATTCGTTTCATAGACCGACTCCACATGGCGCAATTCGCTAGCAAGCTGGGGACGTTCGGGTTCGCTAGTCGCAGGTACATATGGTAGGCCATGTTGCAGGATAGCTGTCAAGACATCGTAATAAGATTTCCAGGTAGCGAGCTTCAGCCCTTGGGAAGAGGATGGTTGTTTTGCGACGGGATGCGCAGACCATAATCGGAATGAAGTCAAGGCGGTTCCCATCAGCTTATCGTCGACAACAACGGTATTAGCACATATTTGATCGCCGGTTAACTGTGCACCCTTCCCTAGAAGCTTCTCGGTCCAGTATGAAAACTGAGGGGTACTCGAGAATGACTGGCTATGGCTACTCAGCCACGGCGTAAGCGAGCTGATTGCTTCCAGCGCATCATTGGGCTTCGAATCCGCGGATAGCCCAGCACCTAGTTCGCAGTTAGACAAAGGCTATTCAACTTTCTATCATGACCGAGCACTCACTTTTAAAGTAGCACCCCTTGACGAGACATACTCGTGTCCATGCGGAAGGCTCTTGGCCATCACCCGAGATGCTGTTCACCGTCTCACCAAAGTCGTCTGGCAGACGAGATGCTGCTATCCTCGCTTCATTGAGTGTATAATGTATCCAACCCAGACAAGCTTGTGTTTGGAGTATCTCCTGCGGTGACGCATCCGGTTTCTCAACAATAGACAAGAGCGAGGGTACTAATTCGTGTAGATTGGACGAAGAGGATTGAGCGGTCGACGGCCGTTCCTTGTCATGCGCAGCAACCTTGGATTCGGCCCTAGCAACCTCTAGATAGTCTGCGACATGCCATATTAGTTTTCCCCTTGGTCATCAGGTAATGGGAACTTGAGGAAGTACATGTCTTGTGAGGTGCATGCTTGGTCACTTTTCGAATCAATTCAGGGACTTCATCCCATCTGTCCTGACATCGTGCCGTATTCAGGGCAGAGATATACCGCTGCGCCTTCTCCGAATCGCCCTATGGACAGACAAATGTCAATGGATTCCTGTTCCTCCAATGGAGGCTTGGAACACGTAGCTATGCTTCGGGGAAACTCACAGTCATGGCGGCGTAGAATCAAAGATACAATGAGACACTGAAGGTTGGGATGGTGAAGAAGGAAACATCTATCCCAAGCACGCCCATCCAAGGCTCAAGGATCGTTAATATTCAGATTGCTTTCAATAAGGCTTCACTATTTCAATGTCCAACTCTCGCTGATTGCCGCGGCCAGGGGAGGGGATGACTAAGCTCACCGCCCAGTTTATCGTATCGTACCGCATCTTACCGGTATTACCGATGGCAGATTCACATGTGGTCATGTGGTCCGAGCTTCTGCCAAAAATTATTCTAACTTTTTTTTTTCTTTGCGGGTTCCTAGCCAAACAGAGGGAAATACAAGAAGACAATTGATTGCTTTCTTCCTTGTCACCACAGCTATTGAGCAGGGCGACAACCACCGCGCCTCACGATATAATGGCGACAACGTCTTTGCGCGCGGTCACGCATCGCTTGACCACTACACCCGTTCAGCAATTGCCTCCAATTGCCTCGTTTTTGGCGACATCACTGAGCGATTGTGGAGAGCTTCTGTCTGCGCCTCAGAACCAGAAGACTGGAAAGTCTGATTCCGACAATGCAGTTCAGATCCATAAGCTCAAGACTCGTCTCGGGAGTCTGTTGCAGGATAGGAGCTTCGAAGGTCGATGGACTGGTGTTGTGTTGGTGAAAGCGACTGTGGAAGCTGGACAATGGGAGGTTCTCCGTGGATGCGAGCCCTTGGTGCGCAGTTTGATTGGGATTTTGGCGGTAGGGTCTTGACGTGGTGGCTGGCTGAGAGTGCGGTGGACGCTGACTTAGTTCTAGAAACCGGACCCCGTCACCACGAAGAAGATGTGCATTATCACATTGACGCGCATATTCCACCTTACCTACCAATACCCCACGCTTGTTCGCGAGATTACGACCCCGTCGCTCCCGGGCTTTATCACATCCATTTTGAATCTTGTGTCCGTTAAGCCATCCTCCGAACCGATCAGAAAGTTGCGGCCCAGCACACCATTCCTGGAAATTGTCTTGCATGTGATCTTGGAGCTGATTGCGAGACATCCAACAACCTTCCGTCCATTCTCTGCGCAAATTCACAGCTTGCTCCAGGCGATCATTGGCTCTACCTCACCTACATACCCCGAACCAGTGGTGGAACTCGCGCAGCGATTGTTCATCTCTCTGCACAACTGCGCGCCGAAGAACACTGCCGGAGATGAATGGAGGAATGCGACCTTGTTGACAATCTCGTCCATCCATAGAACATCTGACTACGTCTTCAGAAGTATTATCGAGCAGTGGGAATCTGTGGATCCGAATTTGCGACAAGCTGCAGCACCGCAAGATTACACTCAGGAGGTGGGCGATGATGGACCAGACCCCTTGGGGCTGTCTGGATGGCGTGGGATCCATTCTGGTGTGGATAGGATACTTGTGCTTTTGCGACTTCTATCTACTTTCTTCTCGACACCTACGGCTTCAGCAGTCTCTATCCCTGTGGGCCAGATTTTGGATTTGACATCACGTCTGACATCGGTCATTGTGCCAAAAGAAAGTGGGGATGTTCAGGCTAACTCGCAAATCAGTCGGGAAGAGAGGGAAAGTCTGTGGACAGAGCTTCCTCGCATCCACGCTGCCTGTATGAAGCTCCTCCTGGGTGCTATGAATGCCCTGGAGACCGGTACCATGTCCGTTGCGCAGACAATCCTTGAGCAAGCAACTTGGGTCTTCCGCGCAGAGAAGTTCAGCAGGCAGGTCCGTGTGTCCATGTATGACTTGGTCCGTTCTTTGCTGCCGATCGTGGGGCCATCCATGACGAAGCAGAATGTTTCTTCTCTGACGGATCTGTTCCGAACTTGCTGCGTTGACCTCTTGCCGTCGGCCGATGATACAAATCCCTCTGCAGGATCATCTACCGATGCAAAGGGGAAGTCAAAGGCCAACCAAGTCACTGTGAATGCAGACTCGTTCTTGAATTCCGGAAAGCAAGGTCGCCAAGTCAAGCAGGGCCCTTCGTTCCCCGAACTCAAGCGCGCAGCATCAGAACTCCTCCCTGTCATCCTCACCTATGTCCCGACGGAGCTTCTTGTGCCTTCTCTACGGGGCGAAATTGACCGTACAATCATCCTGGCAGCGAACAAGAACGCCATGCTTTCCAGTGTTCTGAGCCCACATCCCGCTGTGAGAGGCCGCGGAGCAGGATCCAGTATCATACCGTTCTTGGCCCGAGCCTACGCGGACGAGATGGAGGTGGAAAGCCTTATTAAACCCCGGATGCCTGTGTTGATGAGCACACCTGATATTAACGGCAATGTTGCCGTTGATGAGGACGAGGATGAAGATGAGGACATGTCTGGGTCTGCGTATCAGCAAACCACTCAGAGCACCGGTTTCCTCAGAACGTCTCCCCCACCTGCGGCCCCCGCCCTTTCGACCCAGACAGCAAGCGTTGAAACTTCCCAGGCACCCGCACCCTCACCCTCTCTGAACAAGCGAGTCTACGAGGAACCCACTCCTCAAGCTCCCGTGGCACAGCCGACAGAAAAGAAAGAAGATGCACAAGTCAAACGAGCACGCTTCGAAAAAGATACCACCGCTGCTCCAACCCAACCATCCCTGGAGAAAGAATCCCCGGCTACTTCCACAGGCACGCCTGCTATCCCTGTGGAACAGTCCTCGGTGACAACTGCGTCAGCACCCCAACCTGTGCAGACTGCGACTTCTTTCCCGAAGTCGGTACCCGCGACTACCCCCAACGTGAAGGCATCTGCTGCGGGTGAGGCAGAGGAAAGCGATGATGAAATGCCAACTTTGAATATGGAGCCAGATACTGATGATGATGAAGAGATGGACGGGTGAACGTATTTGTAAATAGAAACTATATATCAAAAGCGTTATAAACAACAAGTTCTATATGCTATATCCAACGAGACGTCTTTCCTCATTCTACAAAACCTGCAACCCGCTCTCCCACCACCGCTCACCCTGTATCCTCCGGAACCAAGGCTCCTTCCAACACCACCACCCCTCTCCTTGAACACCCAGGTCTAAGCCACGAATTAGACTAACAGGTATAGGCTCCGTAGTCCACATACCACTCCTTGCAAAATCATCCGCCGCACATCCTCCCGTAATCGTAAGCCAAAAGTACACGAACAAAGCGTTTCCGGTCCAACGTAGCCATCGGCGTATCTTGAACGGGAGCAGGACTGGCAAGATGATCCTTTTGAATGTATCTTCGATAGTGATGCCGGCAGCCTGTAGGATGAAGAACATGAATGGACCAAGTGGCTTCGTGTCTCCGAGTTGGGTATGGCTCCCAAAAGCGTGAAGAAGTCCGCTAAGAGAAAAGGCGACGAATGTTATGACGGCGCGCCGGATACTGTTATTTGTCGCTAGTCGTTGCGGTAATAGAGATAAGATCCAACGACCTGCATTCGTGAACCCCACACGGAATAGCTGATGCCACCATCGGCCCCAGCATCCAGCAAGGCCATGTTCCAGTGCAGATTTGAAGAATGGACCAAAGGTATCCGCATAGAGCCAAGGAGCGTCGAGGGGGACGGATGTTATAGCCCGTGCAAAGTTGGGGAAGGCAACAGATAGTCCGAGGAATATCGGTGGGCCGAATGAGGTTCCATAACTCAAGGCGATATAAACACCATAGCCTGTCAACATATGACGGTATAAAGTGACGCCGCCTGGGATGTCGCTAAGATAGTTGAACGGAAACGGCGGCGGAATGTCAGGCGATGCCATGCCTATAAAATAAGGGTCTCGCATCATGAGAACCTTGACGAGATCTAAGAGGAGGTACGACTTCACAAAGGATGCAAATGCAATCTTCAGACGGGTTTTAGCGTCCAAGACTTCAGAGTCGTTCAGTTCCCGTGACGTATCTCGTTTCCCTGGATTTAGTTGGGCGTTGACGGATGCAGGCAGGGGTCCCATGGTGGAAACTCGCCAGTTCCATTGTGGGCCTCTCATGTTGCTCAATAGGTCGAATGCCCAATTGAGACGGTGTAGAAAGGGCCGCGGGTAGGCCTGCCATACAAGCACTTCTTTCTGACTCTTGGGTTCTTCAGATCCCTGTCTCTTTGCAGAATCACCATCAGGCTTTTGGTTGGCTGTCGGAGTTGAGCCACCGTCGGAGCCACTGGTTTGTGCATCGCAGCCGTCTACATCACCATCTTTGTCCATGTCGATAAACCCAGAGTCTTCAGGTCCCACATTCACAGGAGCAGTTCGTCTCTCGATCCGCTTGAATTTCTTCTCCACATCATTGAATATAAGTAGCGCTGCACACCAGATAACCCAATATGTCGTCAACACACCCAGCATATAGCCATTCGCGCCTAGCTGTGACCGCCTGTATTTGATCAAATCAAAAGCCACACCGAGAATCAGGGCGAAAACTGATCTCCGTATAAATCTTGAGCCATCATGGTGGAGCACAAGCAACGCCGATAGCGGAAGACCAAACAGCACAAGCATATGCCACAGGAAGAAGGGCTTGATATCGCCATGTTCGATTAACGTGTCCAATCGGCCCTGGAAGCGCTGAGCAAGCGCATTGTGGTATATGGGGCTCGTGTGGATCATCAGGGATAGTTGATGTAATTTGTACTCGAGTTTTTGCGTTTTGAATGCCGGGATACTGTTCACTTTATACATATGTAGCGAGACATCCAAACATAACGTTGAGTTCTCAAACCGAAAGTTGCACAGCTATAAATAACATGTCAATCACGTTCAAGCAAGCATAGAAAAAGACCGACGATTCCCAGTCATAACAAGATGATTATACCGGAGTTTCGTACATTTTCCTGTTGGTGATGGCAATATGCGGTGACGTCTGTTCTTACCAAATTGGGTATGCATATTTAATCACGTGAAATCGCGTTTTAGCGCGATACGCCCGCAGTCGCGCTAATCCCGATTCGGTGGCGCCGATACTGATCACATTGGCGTCGCGAAAAGAAAAGCAGAACTTCCCCAAGATCTGTCGCTCCTTGCAGCGGGCATAAGCAGCTATGGAACCAGCTATGGGAAAGCGTGATATTGAACACGTTGATCTGACTGGCGATGATGATAGATATGCGCGCGCTCAGAAAGCCAGCCGTACTCGTGCGCAACCAGTTGTGAGCCTGGACGAGGAGGTACAGGCTGTGCCTTCATTTCAGTCTTCGCAGTCCTTTGCACAGGTTGCACAGGGAGAGGAAGATGATGAAGCGGCGGATTTGGTTCAAGGAAGCCAAGATATTGACTATACCAACGCTTATATGCTCTATGGTATGCATTCATAGAGTGAGCAACGCGAAAGAAACTAATTTGAATTAGGTCGTATGCCTACAAAGATTGTTGGTGTCCGCTTTTACAGCGGCCAGGTCACGATTGGCGAGCGAGTTCTTCTAGTTCGAGAACCCAACAATCCCTATGATCGGAATGCTATCCAAGTCAAGAATGTTATGGGTGACCAAGTTGGCCATATCGGACGTAACGTTGCGGCAAAGCTAGCCCCATATATGGTAAGAGTGTTTGCTCAAACGACACTAGTATATGTTTCGTTAACTGCTCTATTTAGGACGCCAGGGACCTTCTTGTTGAGGGCCTGTTGACTGGAATTAAAGGGACTTATGATTGCCCAATTTCTTTGGGCTTATTCGGAACGAGCGATACCTCTAAGAGACAGGGGCTGCAACAGAGAATGCAACGGGATAGGCTTCCCGTGACTGAGGTGAAAAAGACAGAGCGAGAGGAAGACAGACAGCGGCGAAAACAACTCCAACAGGAGCTCAAGAGCAAAGGAAGGCCTGGTGAGAACATGGACACACTTGTCAACCAGAGTACCATCTTCAACCCTCGGGATGTCAACAAAGTCGTTGAGGAATTTGGTCTCAATGAATCGGACCTGGCAAACATGCCAATGGCTGAAAGTCCCGCCGCTTTGGCGACTGAACTTCTTCACTACCAGCGTCAAGGTTTGGCTTGGATGATCAGCAAAGAATCACCGATTCTGCCTCCATCTGGGTCTGACACCGTGGAACAACTTTGGAAGAGAAAAGGAAACTATTTCATGAATATCGCCACTAATTATACTACGTCTACGGCGCCTCCGTTGGCTAGTGGTGGTATATTGGCCGACGATATGGGTCTGGGAAAGACTATTCAGATAATTTCTTTGATTTTGGCTAACTCTCAGCCCAAGACCCCAGAATCATCCGCATCCACCTTGATTATATCTCCTGTGGGTGTGATGAGCAACTGGAAGAACCAAATTGAGCTTCATACCAAGAAGGAGCATGCTCCGCGAGTGCTGGTTTACCATGGCGCTGGCAAGAAGGAGGCTGCAAACCTCAGCGAGTATGATGTGGTGATCACGAGTTACGGCGCTTTGGCCATTGAATACAATGAAAAGTCCAAAGTACCACCGAAAAGAGGTATCTTCTCGGCTCACTGGCGCCGTGTTGTTCTTGACGAGGGTCACACAATCCGTAACCCACGGTCTAAAGGCGCTCTGGCCGCTTGCCATCTGCGATCGGACTCTCGCTGGACATTGACCGGAACGCCGATTATTAACTCACTGAAGGATCTTTACTCACAAGTTCGCTTCCTAAGACTCTCCGGTGGTCTAGAGGACGTGGCGGTTTTCAACAGTACTTTGATCCGGCCCCTTTCGCGCGAAGACCCTGACGCACGTTTACTTCTCCAAGCACTTATGGCTACTATTTGTTTGCGGCGTCGGAAGGATATGAACTTCATCAATCTGCGCCTGCCTCCCCTCACTTCTCGTGTTTTCCGTGTTAAATTCCATGACCACGAGAGAGAGAAATACGATATGTTCTTGTACGTATTCGGGAATTTCTCATGTTACCAACCAGCGCGTGCTTACAAGACAACAGGTCCGAAGCGAGAGGTGCGCTCTCGAATTTCAAAGCCAAAGAACAGACCAAAGAGTCTACCTATTCGCATGTACTGGAAGTTATTCTCCGCCTGCGTCAAGTTTGCAACCACTGGACGTTATGCAAAAACCGTGTCGATAAACTGGCTAGTCTCCTTGACAAGCACAAGGTCGTCCCACTGACGCCCGAGAATATCAAAGCGCTTCAGGATATGTTACAGGTTCGGATTGAGAGCCAGGAGACATGCGCTATTTGCCTTGAGATTTTGGAACAGCCCATAATTACTGCTTGCGGTCATGCTTTCGATCGCGGCTGCATCGAGCAAGTCATCGAAAGACAGCATAAGTGTCCTATGTGTCGTGCCGAAATCAAGGACACGTCCACGCTGGTCTCCCCGGCGGCCGAGTTGGGCGAGAGTGCAGACTCTGCTGTTGGGGACCCGGACGACCCTAGCAGTAAAATCGAAGCACTCATCAAAATCTTAACAGCCCAAGGACAGGCCCCTGATACCAAAACGGTGGTCTTCAGTCAGTGGACGTCCTTCCTGGACATTGTCGAACCACACCTCAGAGAAAACGGAATCGAATTCGCCCGCATCGACGGCAAAATGAACTCCACCAAGCGCGACCAGTCAACACACACCTTCTCCAACGACCCCAACTGCAAAGTCCTCCTTGCCAGTTTGAGCGTCTGCAGCGTCGGACTGAACTTAGTCGCTGCTAACCAGGCCATTCTCGCAGACAGCTGGTGGGCTCCAGCCATCGAGGACCAGGCCGTGGACCGCGTTTACCGTCTGGGCCAGACACGCGAGACGACCGTCTGGCGTCTCATTATGGAAGAGAGTATCGAGGATCGTGTACTAGACAGGCAGGAGGAGAAGCGGAAACTGATGCTTGATGCTTTCCGGGAGACGGCTAAGAGGAAGAAGGGCGAGGACAGGGCTACTAGGATTGCTGAGCTTGAGCAGCTCCTTGCTTGATTTCCTTTCCTTTTCCAGTTTCTTTCCACCTCTAGCTTTAGACCCCGTTTTGCTTACTTGTCTATCTTCATGTTTATGTTAATATGTATTACGGCCCTGTTGCTACTTATGCTGATGAGTCGGACCCTGGATGGTCTATGAAATGTCAATAGATTTTCTGATTCACTTCATCTATCAACCTTCGTATTTCTCCCTTTCCTTTTGTTTCTCAATATCAAAACTTGCGATTGATATGGTCTGTAAGTTCCTGATACCTACTAGGACTAACATAAGTCAACAAGTCCTCGATGGTCTAGTGGTCATGATTTCCGCTTGTCAGCTTAACAACTGCAAGCGCGGGAGACCTGGGTTCGATTCCCAGTCGGGGAGATTTTTTTTTTGTTTTCCCTCAATTCTTTTCTTTCTTTTTGCTATTAGGATACTGTCCTGTACGGATTGAGATGATCGCTGTTGGATACCATTCAAACGCTATATGAATACCCATAAAACAGGATATTCGCGAAACAAACATATCTGCAGAGTGGTATTTGCAGCGTGAAAAGAAAAAGGGGTAAGTATTTGGACAAAAAGTATAGACCTATTCACACAAGAAAAGAAGAAAAGAGAAGAAAATAGGATCTCGCCCGTAAGAATGAAAGAAAAGAGTTCATTGGGTGTTGCAATTGGTCTTCTTTGCTTTGGTCGGTCTTGCATTGTTATCAACCGCAGGCCCTTCCGGTGGGCTTTCGAAAATCTGCTCATCCCCGGAGTCGGCGCCGTCAATTGACATTGCACGACTGCCGGTGCTCGCTGCATCATCGTTCTTTCCAGATTGATTTGATGCAGCCGATGCTGGATCCAGACCTTGAGACGTGTCAGTGTTCGATGGCGGCGGGTGTTGAGGAGGAGCGGGTGCAGTTACCGAGGGAGTATTGACAGAGGGTTTCGATGGCGGCGGTGGGCGTTGTTGCGGAGTAGACCCTGTAGTTGAAGTTGTAGTATTGCCAGAAGTTGGGGAATGCGCATGCGATGACGGTGTAGGGAAAGGACGACTGCTGTTATTTGCAGGAGGGTTCGGGGCTGGTCGAGAGATGCTCGTGTCCGGCGGCAGAGGACGCGGGCCAACATTGTGCGATAGCGGCGGCGGATGAGGATGATGCGGAAGGCTCGAGTGTGCGGTCCCCTTCTGATCCAAGTAATATTGGTTCGGTTGGTTCGGTTGAACCTGAGCTCTGGCCGCCAATAGCGCTGCTTGTTCTGCCTGCCGTTCTGATTCTCTTTGGACCATCAAGGCTTGATATGCACGGGGATCTGTGCGTCGAAGACGTTCATCGCTCAGATGCATCTGAACACCTTGCTTCTCTTCCTCGGTGAGATTGTCGTTGTCTTCTCTTTGTAAGGTTTCCGTAAGAGTGATCTTTCGAATGATCCTCTCAGGCCCGTTGTCGCTCTCGATAATCTTGTCGAGGACAAGGGGGTCCTTGCCCATGAATTCGATGAGATCCTTCTGAGGAACGGAACCCGCTGGTTTAAGATATTCCCCTACGGATTTGTTTGCCCAGCGGACCGGGTTCTTCTTGTCGACCACGCGATTAGCCAGGTGGCTCTTGAAGATTGCTTTCCCGAAGATTTTCTCTTCGAAGGTGCCACCGGAAATGAACCTGTAGACAAACACAGGCTTTTGTTGACCTAAACGGTAAACACGTCCCACCGCCTGTTCTTCCCAGACTGGGTTGAACTGGAAGTCGAAAATGATCACGCGATTGGCGCCAGGGATGTTCAGACCCAAGCCACCAGCACGAGTAGATATAATGTATATTTGCTCAGCTCCCGGTTTGTTGAATGCTTTGGTAGCAGTTTGCCGATTGCCCATCGACGTCCGTCCATCCAAGCGACAGTATTTCCGATTTGAGCGCTTAAGAACATCTTCGATGTAATCCAGTGTCGGAAGGCTATGAGAAAAGATTAGAACCTTATCTCCAGTCTTCACAGACTCTGCAATGATCTTGTTCAACATCAGCGTCCGGTATGAGAGGTCCAGATCCTTAAGATCAGGAACGGCGGTAAAAAGAGGCTTTTGTCGGGAGACCAAGCTGGCTGAATCCGGTAGACCCGCTTGGTCGATTGACTCCTCCCCAGGCAAAGCATCCTGTCCTTGTTTTGGCGCCTCGTTGGTAGGATTGTTAAGCTTATCCCAGAAGCATTTGGGGTGGTTGCAGCAGAGGCCCAGAATCGCCAGCCAAGACCACAGCTTCGGATTGCCTACGTCTCCAACCTCGCCATATACCGCATTCACATATAAGTTGTATGCCTCCTTCTGGAGCTTGGTCAGGGGAATTGTAATGACGAACTCCACCTTTGGCGGGAGGTCTCCGGCGAGCGCAGAGATATCAGCACGGTTGACCTTGGGTTCAAGAATTTCTTTAAGAACCTGGAGCTTCACAAGCGACTTCCTTCTCTCGGAATATGTGCTGTCGGCGTAAAGTCCTTCTTCAATGGGTTCTACGTAATTGGCGTTGAATTCCTTATACTCCCCAAGATAACCTTCTGCAATCCAGCTGACCATTGTGTAGTAATCGGTCAAGTTGTTCGCAAGAGGAGACCCAGTCAATGCAATTCGGCTCTTAGAGCGGAATTGGACTGCCGCTTGGGCAATCCCAGTGTTGGCATTCTTCATCTTGTGCGCCTCATCGGCTACAATGATACTAGGCCCGTCAAGTAGCCATTTCTTGACCCGTTTATGTTGCTCATCCGACAAACACTTCCAGCCCTTGGCTTGTCCTTGCACAACATCTTGATCACTTTCTTGGTCTTGGAATGGCCTGCCTCTTGCCTTCGTTTCCTTGTTTAAAATCCAGGTTCGGAATATGTCATACGATATCATTAAAATCCCGCCTTCACTATTCCAATCCTCAACTTTTTCTAACCGTTTCCCGAGCTTTAGCGTAGCCGTTATCTTTCTCAGAGGCCCCAAAAGATTGGGGTTCATCGGCATCCACATCAGGAACTCTTCAAACCAGTTGTCAATTAATGACGAGGGACAGAGGATTAGTGTTTGGGACCGATGAAGATGTTCAGGGACTTGCTTGCGGATGCGTACGTCATCTGAAGCTGTTGCGGCGGCAATTGTCGAAAGGAGCGAGATTACTTGCATAGTCTTGCCCAGACCCATGGTATGGGCAAGCAGACATCCTTGTTGATTCTTGTCTTCGATCAATTCTCGCCACATGAACTGCACACCTCTCAGTTGGTGGGGCTTGACACGGGTACCGATATGCGAAGGTAGGTAGATGGCCGGATCTCCGAAGCTGACAACTTGATGTCTGGGATCGTCGTTGCTGATACCCATGTTTTCCCAAGTCTTCTGGAGTTTCTCTCTCTGGTTCTCTTGGTTCTGAACACGCTCTTGCGCACTCTCTTGGTTCAGTTTGGTGTGTTGGCTTTCCTTGACCTCCTTCTTGCGCTTCTTATGCGGCGAGTTGTTTTTCGGGGTCTCCTCGTTTTGCTTCCAGTCGTAATATGCCGCTAGATGCTTGCAAAGAACCTCGAAGAAAGAAGTGAACCCGCTCAAGCTCGTTTGCGCTTCAACAATTTGATGTCTTGAGATCCCTTCCTGGGAAAGATGAACGCAATTGACATAAGAGATGTAAAGGGATGCCGTCCGCATGACAAGCTGATTCTTGAACAGTGAGAAACCAGGTATTTCCTTCTCACTTTTGGTCAATACATTCAAAGCGTCGCGGATATGATGCTTAAGACGCTTCACCCCGTAAGTCGGAATATAATCAGCCATGGTCGCCCGTTCTTCGTCAGGTAAGCCTCCGATCAACTTGGCCAAGAGTCTTCCTCGATCCGAGCGCTCTTCGATTCTCGTCCAGCTTAATTTGGCCAGTGCTGCAAAATCGTTGACATCAGGTAACTCATTATTTGCAGCCTTCGTGGGCGGATGTTTGAATGTCGGTATCTCAACGGATATTCGTTGAGAAAGCGTCGGGCCGGGGGATATTGAACTCCTTTCTGACTTGAGAGCTACATTGGCTGAGCTAGGTTGCGACTTGTTAGGCACCACGGGATTCAAAGGAGGAGTCTCGATGGTTAAATCATTGGCAGGAGGGGAAGGGGTGTCCATTGTGAGATCAATGAGATCTGTTTTTGGCTCTGGCCTTTGTTCTCTGACAGGAACATCTGGCGACGAAGAAGAACGGATGCTCAAGGGGTTGCGTTTCCGGGCCTTTGATTTCCATTTCTTCCCAGAAAGACTTATGATATCGTCATCACTGCTGTTCGACGACAGCCTGACAGGCGATTGAGTCCTGAAGGGACTGCGACCAGGCCTTTCGTCTTCGAGATCTTGCATATCGGTGTCGGTGCGATCAAAATCCTCGCCTTGGACATCTTGCATTTCAGAGTCGTCCATGAAGTCATCCAGAGGCTCGTCATGATCGACGTCGGAATCCTCAGAACTTAAGGATTCCTCGTCATCAACCCGGGGTTTGGGTTTGGGTTTTGGTCGCTGCTCCTGGGCAGACTCGACCTTTGGAGGACATTTATCTTGCTCCAACACCGATATGCGCCATCTCTGCTTGGTGATATTGAACACCGAGTGCTCCATGCTCTGACAAAGAAGTTTGAGCTCCGACATTGCATAGTACTCATTTCCACGAATGGTTTCTTGCACCTTTTTGAGGCGTCGTTCCTGGAGTTCAATTTCTTTTGTGAGGAATTTGATTTGCTGGTTAGCACTCCTTGAGCGTCTTGCTCTTACCCATAGGCTGTGTGCTCCCTGTTCTTCCTTCGGCTTCTTGATTTCGTGCCATTTGTTTTCATATTCTGCGACACACTCCTTGATAGCAGTTTCAACTTCTGAAGGAGATAATTTGGTTGGTTTCCCGCGCTCAGTATCTCGTTGCTCATCATCTATCTCTTGCCATGTGTCCTCATCGTACTCGCCTTCAGAGCCAGACTCACCGTATACCGGGCAAGCCTCGTCTGGAACATCTTTTTCAACGGGGTACTTCTGAAGGAGATAAGCAAACGGATCAGATGGGCTCAGGTCCTCTGCTGGATCCTGTGATTTACGAAGCAACGACCATTTGTCCGCGTTCTCCTGGCTAACAGTGACTTTGCCATTTCTTGAAGTATACAACGTGAAATATCTCCGCGTCTCTTCGTCCCGCGCTCTATAGGGTATGACGGCCCATTGTTCCTTTCCTTTTTCACAAGGTAATTTAATGGGATGCTGCTTGTGAAAATAGTTAAGGGACTTGCTCACGAAAAGACGCTGAGCTGTAGGGAACTTTGGGCCAAGCATGACAAAGGTTTGATCATTATCCTCAGAGCTGAACGGATAAAACAGCTGAGAAGATTGGACCTTGTGTGGGCCCATATACCACTCTTTGTCCTCCCGTCCATCTTCAAACTTGGAGCTATCATTCTTCCGGGTGATTTCCTGGCCTTGCAGCAAGGGTTGTATCCTCCGTCGCTTACGGCCTTCGCCATCGACGACGGCAGACTCTTGAGCGCGACCCTCACTGTCACCGTCAGTTGCAAGTTCATTGCGTTTTCTATTCCCAAAGCTTTCTCTGCGTGAAGGAAGGGGATGCTCCGCTTGTTTTCCTCTCAAAGCACCGAGTCCAGAAACTGGAGGTGTCATCATGCGGGGGTTTGGAGGAAACTCGCGTTGAGGAGTCCCAACATAAGAAATAGACATTTGATCCAAGTAAGAGGCGGCCGGGGAGACATCGCGGCTATCTTCAGACCGAAGCTTTGATTTCTCCTGGGTACTCTGATACTTGAAAGATCTTTTCCGAAGATATTGTATTGCCCTGATAACCGACGATCTGTGTCCAAAAGCTTTCATTCCCAAGTCCTCATGTAAGACTTTCAGATCAATGTCATGCAAGAGGACTTCTCCCGTGATGAAATTGTCTCGCAGCGCGGCTTCGAATGCGATGGGGTCCGGGTGAATCCTCACGACTGAGTTGGACCATGGCGTCTGGGGGTTATGGCAGAGGAATTCGACTACCTCATCGAGCGTCCAGTCGAGCGGATCTCCGTCGTCGGTTGCCATTTTTCTAGTAAATCTGAGAAGTTAGCGCTTGGCCTGCCCAAGTAAGTTTTGATTGCCATTATATTCCAGTACCAGGATTATGATGTTATTCCAAGGAACAAGCACATCGAAGTCTCAAATCCGCATTAAAAAACCGAAAAGACCATAGATCGAGAAGTAAATGGGAAATTAGAGATGTCGTCAAGTAAGAACATAAACGCCGAGGGGTATCACCGGAGCAACAATTATGAAAATAAAACACCAGGAATTAAGACAGAACGAAGAAAAAAGATAAAAAGGGAAGGAGCGAGCTAGCGATGCTACCTCACTAAAAGACCAGACGGTGGCATGACGCGCAGCGATGACGATAACGCGAGGGCGTCGAAAAAAGTCGCGATGAATGCAATGATATTGATGCTTTTGCCGCTAATGGAAGGCGGTGTCAAAAGCGGTACTGCAACTAAACTAAGAGCTTATTAGTCATCTGCCAAGCATCACATTTGACCCCGCTCATATCGACAAAGACCGTTCTCGATACTGACGAGGACACACATTTCGGTGATAGAGACTCCATTCGAGTGAAAGTATTGCTGTCAGCTATTTGTTAATGCTCAAGTTATAGGCAGACATGGATAACACCGTCTATTCGAGCTACCCGCCGCAGCTGGACCCCGCGCAGGAGGCATATTTGGTGACGACAATCAAGGACTGGGCGATTCAGAATGGCCTGGCAGTTCGTCCTCACCCCAGCTTTGTGCCCAGGGAGACAGATTCCAAGGGGGTCCTGGCAACAAATGCTCCGGTGACGCTGTTTCCGAGCCCGTTTCCGAGATCCTGTTTCGAGGAGGCGAGAGCATTGCAGACTGCCTATAACCAACTCTATGCGGCCATAACGTGCGATGAAGCATGGCTGGGGAAGATCATGGAAGAGTAAGACACGTGCGATTGTTTAGTTTAGAATTCCGGCTTGTATATGCGTGGAGTGCCAACTAAGATCACTTCCGTAGTCTCATTGACGTGGACGACTTTATTTCGCACCTGTGGAAGGTCCATCTTGCGGTCCAGAAAGAAGGATATGCCCAAACATTATCCCTTGGTCTTTATCGTTCCGATTACATGGCCAACATTCCCTCCAATTCGAGTGCGTCTTTGAAGCAGGTGGAGTTCAACACCATCTCATCATCTTTTGGTGGGTTGTCTTCGCGCGTGACGTCGCTACACACGGAGCTTCTGGGTACTCCAGGGTATCCATCTCATCCTTTGCTCGATTTGTCTATACCTCCGGAGAACACGGCTGTCGAGACGCTATCCGCGGGCCTAGCGGTGGCGCACAAGAGCTACGGCCCGCCCAAGTCCGCGCCGGCTCTTCCATTGTGCATTCTGTTCCTTGTACAGGAGGATGAGCGGAATCTGTTTGACCAATTAGCACTTCTGCAACAGCTCACCAGGGTGCACAAGGTGCCTGTTTTCCGGCTAAAGAGTACGGAAATTCTGAATCAGACGTCAATTCCTAGTTCCAATCCAGCTCGCCCCTTGGTATACCACCCACCTCAATCCCCCGGCACACAATACGAGGTGACAACAACGTATCTGCGGTGTTTCTACGCTCCGAACGAATACAAATCTGAGCGTGACTGGGAGGCCCGGACACACCTCGAGCGTTCAGCCGCAATCAAGTGTCCCACGGTTCTAAACCAACTGTGCGGAAGCAAAATCGTACAACAAGTTCTAGCCGAAACTACCGGCCCCGACCACCTTGCTAAGTTCCTGGCCGGCACGGATTCGAACACGATTTCGAGGCTCCGTGCAACATTCGCCCCTCAGTACGACCTTTCCTCCAGCGGACGGGGCCGGGAACTCGCTCTCAACCCAGAAACGGCAGCGAACCATGTCCTGAAACCACAGCGCGAGGGCGGCGGTAACAATATCTACAAGACCGATATCCCTGATTTCCTGCGTTCGATTCCCGAATCGGACTGGAAACGGTGGATCTTGATGGAACTGATCCACCCCCCTGCCAGTGCCAAGAACGTAGCCTTACGAAGCGATGGTGAGGTTCTCAGGGACAATGTTATTAGCGAGTTGGGTATCTACGGGACTATTCTATGGGATCAGAAGGGCGGAAACGTCCTTCAAAATGAGCAAGGAGGGTATTTACTGAGGACCAAGGCAAAAGATGTTAATGAGGGAGGAGTCGCGACTGGATTTTCTAGTCTAGACAGCATTGTTTTGTTTTAGTACGCACCTTTGCATTAAACGAATAGATTAACCATTAAGCCAGTAAATTCCATTAGTCTTACACTCAATCCTCGTAAATCAACCTCTATCCCAACGCCTTTATAAAGCCTCCATAACCCTAAAATAACAAATAAAGAAACAGTTAGCACCAGTAATAATTGTACATCTCATTCTGATAAGAGTCGGTCATCGTCTAACCCTGGTTGACCTGGATCTGGCCAAGTTCAATCTGTCTCACCAAGGCTGCTTCGGCTGCAGGGCTGTCTTCAACGGCTATGAAAAGTTAGCATCAATTCTCATAACAGGGAAAGGGAAATAAAAAGAAAAGCTTACCTCGACCGCCCTCCCTATACCAAGCAAAGGTATGTTTTGCGAAAGACTTCACCTCCTTTGACTCTTTCGGGTCCTTCGATTCAGTCCACTGTTTCGGCAATTCATCCAACGGCAAAAGCTGCCAGGAACGACAATCCAACCTTCGCGCCTTTGCTGCAAGTTGGTTATACAAGCTGAAAGTCTGCTTCAATCGACCACCGAGAGTATGGGACGTCTCACCTGGTTCCAAGAACGTGTTGAGCGCATAGGTTGGCTGGTTGCGAGTCGTGTAGACAAGGCCGTTCTCGGTACGGATAAGGCCGCGCTTACGCAGAGCAACGGGCCGACCAAAAGAGTTGTGCAGGACTTTCATGGTCGTGTTGTAAAAGATCTCGTCGACGGAGCGGTGCTCGACACGTCCGACTTCCATGCGGGTGAGCGGGTTGCGACGCCTGCTCCAGCAGGAAAGCGTTAGCGGGCCGCGGGCCTCGCGCTCTCTACGCATGTTCAAGGTGTTCTCTGAAGTTCTTTCCTTGAGGATTGGGGCTGTCATACGCGATCTGATATCCTTGTATGTGAGTCGGGAGTCAGTTCGGGACCAGTATTCGAGCATCCATCCCGGAACGTCGATGGAGATGTACCGGGGGAGGAACGGGAAGTCGCGGATGGGTTTACCTTCCCAGTCGAGGGCTTTGGTGCCGTTTTCAATGAGGTCTTCGACTTCGCTCAGGTAGCCGATCTCTTTCTGCTCGAGGGCGAACAGGATGGGAGGCAAGTCTGTGGCACTGTAGGGCGAGTGGTGGGAGTGCTCACATGTGTGGTATTGGTCCGGGATAGTAGTGTCTGTAAAAAAACTGTCAGTATATTACTTTGTGTTAAGAAGCTGGGGGAGAGGTATATTCACGAGGGCAAGGGATGGTGTTTCTGATCAACGAAGGGTCCATTTTGTCTTGTCTTTCAGTGTTGACTGTTTTTGTAGTGTTAGAATGCTGGTTCTTTCCGAGTATGCTGGAGATACTGTTGTAGAGAACTGCATAGCCAACTTAATCGTGGAGAGACGGCAGTATTTATGCTTCTCTCGCCAGTTCCCAATAGTGTTATCAAAGAAAGTTCTTTGACAGTATCAAATCCGGGGATATTCCATTGTTTGGAACATAGCTATGTCCCCGTATAGCAGCGGTAACAAACAATTTGCCTTGTTTTGTCGCTGATTGGACACAAGCCCTCGGGAGATACCTTTGTATGGACAAAGAGATACCAAAATGCCTTGTCTTTGTCGTTGCTAAAAGAATAAACAATGCCCCCGAGCCATGGGTGAAAGCTATGGAGCTTCGAGTTAAAACCTTGGATTATCCTTTTTCTTTAATCTCTTTCAATATCCACAAAGATGTAAGAATAGCACATCAAGTCACCTCTGGATAACTTGTTTCAACACTGTGAGAGAAGCTTAGGAGATATTCATAGGTCTTTAATTGTTGAAACCCAAATTCCTTTCATCTTTCATCAAAACAATCACTTCTTCTCTGCTTTGGGCTTCCGCGCCTGAAAGATCAAAACACACCCCACAACACGGCATCCAACCTCCTCAAACTCTTTCTCCAGCGCACGAAGAAAATCTTCCTTTCCATCTTCCTTGTTACGAAACACACCAGCCCAGTTATACAACTCCATATACAACCGGCTCAACCAATGCTGGCCGGTACCGCGCCCCAATATAGTAGTGCCAAAGAGCGTGCCTTGACTCGACAAATACGGTCTCAGGTTGGAGAAGATCCGGCCCTTCTCTGTAGGCGAGCAGGGAAGAAAATGAAGCACGTGCATGAGAGAGATCGAATCGAACTGTCTGTGGTCGACGCCGGGTAGAGTCAACGAATTGCCTAACACGTTGGCCACGATAGAATTGGTTCGATCAGGTAGCCCAACGCGCTTGGAAGCACTCTCGAGGCAGTTTTCGTTGATGTTGACTAGGGTTAATTGTTGCGGCCACCTGTTACCCTGATTATGACGGTTATATGGGAAATATCCTGTACCCACGCCCACGTCCATATGTCTGGGGCCTGCGTTGGCATGGAAGAATGGAATCAATACGGGCTTTGTCGGACATTTCCATAAGTAGTTGCCATTGACGGTGTGGGCGATAAAATCGTATATCCGGAGGATGCCGCGCGTGTATAGATTGGCACCAGTAGGCAAGTGAGCGTTGATTCTGCTGAGCATTGTGTAATCCTTAGGACAAGAAAGATAAACAGAGAAACACAAAAATAAGAGAATGGACGTATGTCGGATTTTGAATAGCACGGGGACGACCTTGTTTTAGTCCGAGATGCCTATCACCTAATAGCCTAGTTAAGAGCTTGTTTGTCCTACTTCAGCCTCGACATACTAAAGAAGCATTTCCCCCTCGTCGCTCCCAAGTATTTTGTCCAATATCCAAGACTCGGTCAGCTCCACGCCTCCGCAATCATGACAGAATCATCTTCCTTCCGGGTGATCATCGTGGGTGCTTCGGTGACAGGCTTGACGCTGGCCCATTGCTTGGACAAGGCCAGAATCGACTATCTCGTGCTCGAGAAGCATGAAAACATCGACCACGTCCCTCTTGGAGGCTTTCTCTCCGTCCAGCCCAATGGGGCTCAAGTCCTGTCCCAGCTCGGTCTCCATGAGACCGTAGCCGCTGCTGGAGAGACTATTACTGTCTGTCATACAGGCTTTCCAGATGGTTTCGGATTCAGCGATCATTGGCCGGATCGGCTGCATAAGAGGTATGTCTCTTTGCCTTTCTTTCTTTCTTTCTTTCTTTTTTTTTTTTTTTTTTTTGAAACTTGAAACTTTTGTGTCACCTCACAACACATCAAGAGCTGTGTTGCTAACAATAGACCTATCTCTCAACATAACAGATTCGGCGTGCCCATGACTGTCATTCGTCGGCAAGAGTTATTGGATATCCTCTACGGTAGTCTGAAAGATCAATCCAAGATTCTGATGAAGAGAAAAGTCGTGAGGATCGGTCACACCGACTCCGGGATTTCAGTTTGGACCGCTGATGGATCCATCTATCATGCTGACACGGTAGTGGGCACGGATGGAGTCCACAGTGTGACTCGCTCCGAAGTCTGGCGCATAGCCAACAGCGAGAAGCCCGGGTTCATCCCCCCTGCAGATAAGACCAGTAAGTGTTGCCTGGCAGTGTGGATAAGCGCTAATATTGCAGAATGGGCCAAATTGACGCTTGTGGACGTTTTCAGGTCTGGTTACAGAATACGCTGCCGTCCTCGGGATTTCCGTTGGAAACACCGGTATTGAACGCGGCGAGCAGATTTTTCGCTTCATCGATGGCTCGGTTATCTTCCTCTTTGGTGGCAAGGATGGCTCCGTTGGTTGGTTGGTTGTACAGAAACTTGACAAGAAGTATGTTTGGCCCGACAGGCCGCGTTTCACCCAGGACGACGCGGCCAGGTTCTGCGAGGCACTGCTGGATGAGCCAATCTGGAGAGATATCAAATTCAGCGATCTTTGGAATCGGAGGGAGCAGTTTGCCATTATCAGCCTCGAGGAGGGAATTGTACAGCAATGGAACTACGGGCGTATTATATGCATAGGCGACAGCGTCAATAAGGTATGCGCTACCAAGTATTCTATGCATGACAATGGCTAATAGTGACAACCAGATGACCCCCAACCTTGCTCAAGGCGCAAACACAGCTATGGAACAAGCAGCCGGATTGGCCAATGCACTATACAAGATAGCCAAGCAAGGTCAGCAAACGAAAAAGCCCTCCGAGACAGAAGTCTCCAGCGCCCTCGGAGAAGTCGCCAAGAAACACTTCGCACACATCAATACCATTAATCAGGGTTCTTACTTCCTAACAAGAATGCATTCGCGACAAGGATGGGCAAAGTCCTTTTACGGACGCTACATCTACCCCAGGACTGCGTGGAGTGTCGTTCCGTATCTGGCGTGGTTGTTTTCGGACAGTGTGGCCATCGACTATCTTCCTCTGCCTGCCAAGCCTATTGGGAAGGCGGCTGTAGCAAGGGCAGTGATGGAAGCAGCAGCTGGTGGGAAGCAATCGACGTGGAACTGGGCCCAGAGGTCGACTGTGGTAATTGGATCGGTGCTCATGGCGCTTGGGGCTTCTTTCTGGTTTAAACCTTTCTAAGCATGTGGGAGTTTGCATTTGAATAATTTAGAGACCAGATTTAATGTAGACTCTAAGCCCAAGATTCGATTATATGCCTCCCTTGAGCATAAAGAGTCATTACAGATTACAGTGTAGACTGCAAGGTAGCTACAATTTATGCAGTCAGCATAGTTGACGCCAGTTGAGCTAAGGCACCATGTAATAAGCATGATATTTATTGGCCATAGAACACGAATATTCTGCTCATCAAAAGAAGGAATTATCCGCATTGCATTTGCAGGGTGTGTCTGCCCGATTGTTTGTTATCGTATGACCCTAACACAAAGCGGTAAGCCCTAACACCAAGTATGTGGCTATCCATGCTGAAATTATACATTCATAGCTACTTTCATCCCGCGTAATCTGCTCTTTTCCCCAATCAGTCCCTCGCTGATTCTCTTGATTACCCTTCCAGTGAGTCATATTCATACCAAGGAAGAAGGCAAGATGACTGCAGATCCAATCGCCATCATCGGCACCGGATGTAAATTCCCCGGCTCTTCGACCTCCCCATCCAAGCTCTGGGACCTACTCGTCAACCCCCCCCGCAATGTAGCCACCAAAGTCCCGGGGAGTCGATTCAACATTGACGCCTTCTACCACCCAGACGACTCCCATCGCGGCACCACCAATGTCCAGGAATCATACTTCCTGTCTGAAGATATTTCCCGATTCGACGCGCCTTTTTTCAATATATCCGCAAGCGAAGCGGGAAACATCGATCCACAGCAACGACTGCTTTTAGAAACAGTATACGAATCTCTAGAAGCAGTGGGTCTCCCAATCCATGAGCTCCAGGGCTCGTCAACAGGTGTATTCTGCGGCGTCATGAATGATGACTGGAGTCAACTGCTTGCTCTGGATCACAAAGCCATCCCGCACTACTCTGCAACAGGAACTGCCCGCACAAATCTGGCAAACAGAGTATCTTACTTCTTCAACTAGCACGGTCCATCTTTTACCATCGACACAGCCTGTTCTTCCAGCTTGGTCGCCCTCCACCAAGCGGTTAACTCGCTGCGTGCTGGTGAATCGACCCTGGCAGTCGTAACTGGCGCTAACTTGATATTGCCGCCTAACTTCTATATTTCAGCATCTAATATGAATATCCTCTCGCCCACAGGGCGCTGTCAAATGTGGGATGATTAGACAGATGGGTATGCGAGTGGCGAAGGCGTGGCATCTATCGTGCTCAAGAGGCTCTGATGCTATTGCCGATGGGGATCCTATCGAGTGCGTGATTCGTGCCACCGGGACAAACCAGGATGGTCGGACGATGGGTCTGACAATACCCTCGAGCGATGCTCAACTTTCACTTATCAAGGCTACCTATGCTGCTGCTGGGCAGGATCCGGCTAGCCGGCCTCATGACCGGTGTCAGTATTTCGAAGCCCATGGAAAGGGTACACATGCCGGTGATACGCAGGAAGCGTCGGCCATATACCGCGCCTTTTTTTCCTCCTTCGTCAGAAACCCTGGGAGACGACGATATGCTATACGTAGGCTCCATCAAGACCGTCATTGACCACACAAAAGGCACCGCTGGTATTGCGGGTATTATCAAGACATCCCTGTGTATTCAGAACGGTACAATCGTTCCTAGTCTCCATTTCAACAACCCTAATACCGAGGTCCTGCCCTACACTTCCCGTCTATCCGTCGCTACAAACACAATACCATAACCAGAGCCTTCCCCGGGAACCCCTCGCCGTGTATCGGTTAATTCTTTTGGATTTGGCAGCGCCAATGCTCATGCCATCCTGGAGAGCTATGAGCATCGATTGACGAACTCAAAATTGAACGCCCCTTTCATTCTCCCATTCGTTTTCTCCGCAGTATCTGAGCAGACACTCGCCACGCTTCTTGAGAACTTCATCCAGTACCTGGAGGAGAATCCCAAAGTCCACCCCGGAAATCTAGCATGGACCCTGATTCATCGTCGCTCTGTGCTCTCTCATAAATTGATATTCTGGACTGCCACGATTGACAGATTACAAGAGAAAATTCGGGAAGCACTGCGCCAGAAAAGCAAGGACTCACCACTGTCCACCGTTGTAACCCATCTAGCAACAGGGCCCAAGAGTATCCTAGGGGTTTTCACAGGGCAAGGTGCTCAATGGCCACAAATGGCACTCGACCTGATTACTTCTCCCCAAGCTTCCAAATGGCTAGATGACCTGCAAGATTCCCTGAACTAGCTGTTAGAGAAGTACCGACCGAGATTCTCCCTACTGGAAGAATTGATGGCCCCCGAATCAAATTCGCGTATTGATCAGCCCATAATCTCGCAGACCCTCTGCACAACAGTCCATATCGTGCAAGTCAAATTGCTCTCCACGCTTGGAATCACATTCTCCTCTGTTATCGGTCACTCATCCGGGGAGATCGCCACAGCCTACGCATCAGGCGCCCTGACAGAATCCGACGCCATTCGCATCACGTACTTGCGTGGCTGGATTGTGAGTAAAAAGCCTGGTCAGAAAGGGGCCATTATGGCAGCAGGTATTTCACCAAAAGAGGCAACGGACATCTGCTCGAAGGTGCATTAAAAGGGACGCGCTATGGTAGCAGCAAGCAATTCACCATCTAGCGTCATCTTGTCAGGCGACAAGGACACCATTAAGGCACTGCGAGAGCGGTTGAAGGGCAAGGGCAAGTTTGCCCGTCTGCTGCACATCAATACGGCGTACCATTCGCATCACATGGGTGCATACTCGGACGTCTACCTTGATGCTTTTAAAGCGGCCAACATCCAACCGGGCCCGCTGGGGGCTAGCACCAAATTGTACTCGAGTGTGCACGGCAACGGGAAAATGGCTGACCTTCACACCGCGCATCCCTGACCTGCGAGTACTGGAAGGACAACATTGTCACCCCGTTCTCTTCTCACAGGCCCTCACAGAAGCCGTCAGTGAAAACGGCCTTCCTGATTCGATCGTCGAGGTTGGACCCCATCATGCGCTCAAGGGGCCTGCACTCCAGAAACTTGCCAACTTAAACCCACTTGCAGCAAACATCCCCTACATCGGCTTGTCCACCCGAGGAACCAGCGGTATTGCAACAATGATAGAAGCCATTAGTTCCTTCTGGGACTACCTAGGACCAGCCTCCTTCAACACCGTTGATTATGTTTCCCTCTTCGACGCATCATTTTCACCACAGGTCGTCAAAAATCTCCCATCGTACCCCTTCGACCACAGCCAAGCCTACTGGTTCAAACACGATGGCTAAAATCTTACTGGCAAGCTCGTCACCACCCGCATCCCCTACTGGGATCACTATCGCCAGACACGACGGAGGGCGAGTGGCGTTGGCGCAACTACCCCCACCGGGACGAGCTGGAATGGCTGGATGGGCACCAGGTGCAGTCGCAGACTGTCTTTCCGGCGACGGGGTACATTGCTATAGCCGTAGAAGCGAGCAAGATCGTTGCACTGGATCTGCAGCAGAGTCTACAGTTGGTCCAGGCTCAGCATCTTGTTGTCGAACATGCGATCTCTATTAACGAAAATGGCGCGGAGATTCTCTGTTTGCTGGATAAGGTCAAATTCAGTGCTGGAAGCTTATCGGGAACATTTTCTGTCTTTGTTGTCGAAGGGGATAGTTTGAAGAAATGCGTTTTCGGCCAAGTCACTGTCTTCTGGGGAGAGGAGGATGCCGGTATCTTGCCCTCGAGGTCAACGGACTCTGGGGCAGGTTTGAGAACAGGCTTGACAATCGGCGTGGACGAATTCTATCAATACCTTGCCCAGCTCCGGTACAGCTACAACGGACCCTTCCGAAGCATGGTCTCCATCAAGCGCAAAGGCGACCAATCAACCGGAGAATTGACCAACCAAGTCGACTCACCGTTCTTGATCCACCCAGCTGTCATGGATACTGGATTCCAAGCCCTATTCGCTGCGCTCGAGGCTCCAGGTGACGGATGGCTGACGACTCTTCACGTCCCGACCCGCATCGAGAGTACAACAATCAATTCGAACGCGTTCGGGTCGACCAGCGCATTGGTTAACGGCACCGGGCATGCGAAAAAGTAAACCCTCTCCTTTGACGCTGCCATTTCTGAGTTCAAGCCCGGCGGCTTCAGCGGCGATATCAACTTATTCACCGCTGAAGGCAACCTCCTGGTGCAATTAGAAGGCGTCAAAGTCTCTCCTCTAGTCCCTCCCACCCCAGAAAACGATCGTCTGCTATTCTCAGAAGTCGTCTGGGGCCCTCTCAAACCCGACGCAAATTGGGAATACAAGCCCCCACCCGCGGAATGGTACAAAAAACCGCTCTACCAGACCGCATCGGCTCCTATTACATGAAAAAGGTCAACGCACAATTAACCGAGAGAGACCACCAGGAATTAGACTGGCAAAGTCCCGCATCGTGGCCTGGATGAGCCATGTTCTCTCTGTGACCCGTGCCGGAAATCATACCATCTGCAAGAAGGAATGGTTTGACGATACCGAAGAGGACGTTCAACGGTTGCTGCAAAAGCTTGGTGGTATTGAAGCCACCATGCTGCAGAATGTGGGCGAGAATCTTCTATCCTTCCTGCATGGGGAGGTGACGGTGGCTCGGTGAGCAAGATGGCCGGCCTTGGGGCGCGCTGGTCAACCGGGCTGTGTGGGAGAGACTTCTGCGGAAGACAGGCTTCGATGGATTTGAAACCATTACACCCAAGCATGACTACAAGGAGGGTGCGTTTACCGTCTTCGCTGTGCAGGCGGATGACGACCGTATGCGTCGACTTCGTGAGCCACTCACTATCCCTGCCGTCCCTGCAACAAACGGAGCCTCCAAATCCCCAGACCTGATTCTGATCGGAGGAGAAACAACTCTTCTCGTGGCGCTATAAGGAAGATCCTGTCTCACCATTTCAGCCATGTAATTGATGCGCGCATGTTGGAGGCCCTGGCTAGGCGAAAAGAATGGCAATCCACCGCTCCTGTTGTTTTGTACCTCGTTGAGGCCGACGAGCCCTGCTTCCAGAGTCTTACAGAGAAACGGCCAAGCGTGCTTAAAACACTCGTTAGCAGTGCCCAGAAGCTGCTATGGGTGAGTATTGGCTCGGAGGCCGAGAATCCGTACTTGAGCATGTCCCGGGGGTTCCTGAACTCGGTGCGCTATGAGCAGCCGCAGTGTCTGTTTCAGCATTTGAATGTGGTAAAGCCGGAAAAGTCAAGTGAAGCCCTAATCGCCAGGACCTGGTGGATCTGGACCATTCGATTGTCGGGGTTGACCATCGCGCTAGCGCCTGGTCTCTTGTAGAAGACAGACCACGGACCGATCAAAACAGCAACCGTGTGCAAGTGTCAGTAACCCATTCAACTCTTGCTGCCATCAAAATCCCCAATGGCGGTTTCCTCCACCTCGTCGTCGGACGGAATGCAGACCAACGCTAGAGCCCTTGCCCTGTCCGAGCAGCACGCACCGACGATCTCCACGCCAGTAAGCTGGTACTGGAAGCTCCTGAGCACTGGCATTGCCAGTCTCGACGACGCAACCCTCCTGCGCACTGCCACTTGTGCCATCTTGGCACAGTCATTTCTTGACCAGACTGTTCCTGGCACGGCGCATCTCGTCTACGAGGCAAATAAGGTTCTTCAACGGGCTATTAAGATCCAGGCTGTCGCACGTGGTGTGCAGCCGTATTTCACTACCGGCATCAAATCGGAAGCAACAAAGGGACAAGAAGCTCACTTCCTCCACCGGTGGGCTTCGAACCGCTCGCTAGCTGAGTTGATTCCCAGTGGTGTGTCTGCAATAGCCCGCTTCGATAATGAGAGTAACAGCATCTTTTTGCGTGTGAAGGCGCTTTTTCCAGATGCTGTGTGCGCTGATATCAGTACTCTCATCCGGTCATCTGCTCTTCTGCCTCAGCAAGGCGAAGTGCATACAACTCTACAGATCGCGAATGGTATTGTCTCGCAGCTGGCAGACAGCTCCAACGAGCCCATCAATACCATCCGCATCGAAGCAGTTCCGAAGACTCCGATTGATGTGTTGACAGGCCTGCATGTTGTCGATTGGACAGGCACACAGAAACCACCTGTGCCTGTTCAGTCGGCCAGTTCACAGATCAACTTGTCTGCTCAGAAGACCTACCTTCTTGTAGGAATAGCAAATGATTTAGGACAGTCGGTTGCGCAGTGGATGATTAGTCGTGGTGCACGCAAGGTGGTCATGACGAGTCGAACGCCAAAAGTTGAGCCGTCCTGGCTCTACGAAATGGGGAAATTGGGGGCACGAGTGATTGTTATGGTTATGTAAGTTGACCTCAGCTCCAACAAATTAGAAGAAAGTAACAATTCAGGGACGTAACTGACCGCGACTCCATCCTCCTCGTCGACCGTGAAATCCGCCATCAACTTCCCCCCATCGGAGGCGTGGTAAACGGCGCCATGGTCCTAACCGACAGCCTCTTTTCCGAACTCACCCTAGACGACATCCACGCCACATTCAAGCCCAAGGTTGAGGGAAGTCTCCTTCTAGACGAAATCTACAACGACCCCAACCTCGACTTTTTCATTCTCTTCGGCTCCCTGGTCAGCACCATTGGCAACTGGAGCCAGTCCGCCTATTCCGTCGCAACCAACTTCCTAACCAGTTTCGTGCACGACCGGCGCCAGCGCAACCAGGTCGGGAGTGTTATCTGTCCGGGTGCAGTAGGGGGAGTAGGGTATGTCTCAAGACATGGTCGCGCACTTTCAGAACACATGAGCAACGTGCTGGGATCACGCGTTATCTCTGAGCGGGAACTGCATGAACTCTTCGCGGAGGCAATTCTGGCAGGTCCACCAGATTCAGGCCGAAATCCGGAGATCATCGCCGGTATGTCCACGGCAAGCCCTGTAGATCAGCCGAATGTCCTCTGGTACACGAACCCTAAGACATGAGACTTTGTCCAATATCACGCCTCCATGTCAAGCCAGACAGTTAGTGTTGCAGCTGCCCCGTTGAGAGTACAACTAGAGTCCGCGCAGGACGTGACGGAAACAACTTCCATTGTCATGGAGAGCCTCGTGCTTAAGCTGCGCACTAAATTGCATCTATCGCAGGACAGGATGATTGATCCGGATACGCGTCTGGCTGAGTTGGGAGTGGACTCGTTGGTGGCTGTTGATCTGCGGATGTGGTTTTCGAAGGAGTTGGAAGTGGATGTGGCGGTTTTGCAGATTCTGGGTGGTTCTTGCATTGAGGAAATTGCGGGCACGGCTGCGTCCAAGTTCTGACAGGGAACTGATTAGACTGTATTCGATAGTGTCTATGTATAAGTGGTTCACTTGATACAAAGGTAGATACAATAGGATTGGGGAGAAAAGAAAACTGATGACAATAACGATATGATGTTGATGATAGATGAAAGAAGAATGAAAAACGGAGGAATGAGAATGCAGGGAGAAGACGAGGAGACTAAGCCAGAAGAGGAAGGTGGCTGGTGTCGTAGCCCCAATTGATCACGAAACAACAAGCCACGGATCAACCACATTCTTTTTCTGCATAACTGTGCCGTTCCCAGTCGTATTCTTCCAACCACCACTCTTTTCACCGTTCTCACCGCGACAAAGATACTCTTCGTAGGACATTCTGTTTCTGTGAAGGTATTCTTCAAGGGTCATCGTGCCGCGATCATAGCTTGTCTCTCGAAACACGAGCGAGTTATCATGACTTGCCAGCTCGCGCGTCTCTGGATATGATACCGATACACGTCGAGTCTTGGGTTGCTTTCGTTTCTTCTGAGATATTTGTCTGTCGAGTACGTTAGACAAAATGCTTTAATCACTGACACCGACACTCACTCAACATAGTCCTCCACCCATGCCTTCCGAACAGGCGGCACAGAAGAAATACTACGCGGCTGTTCACTCAAGCCCTGAGGTCGCTGAACCTCCCCCGAACTCCCATTCGCCGTCCTCGCTCCCATATCCAACGGATAACCCTTACTCCCACTCGGCCAAAAACACGCCTCGCTCTTCATGCTCTGCTTCCTAACCCCCTGCATCACAAAAAACGGCCACGAAGCCACCCCACCCGTCTTCTCCCGTTTCTTCTCAGCCGGAACCGGAATCCTCCCACCCTCGTCACCCTTCTCTGGATTAACAAGACCAGGCGTAACACCACGGGTAGTATTCAACCCCAAATCCACACCCTTCCTGTGCACCACCCTTGCAACCTCATTAATCGACACCTGCGACTTCCAATCCGCGACATGGAAGAGTCTCCGGAATTCCTCGCGGCGCAGCTCAATCTCCAACGAGCTCACTTCGCCGCGGAACCTAGGGTCAACGCGGTCGAGGATATCCTGCGCCTCAATGCGGCGGTCAATACGGAACCAGGCTTCGAGGCGCCAGCCTTCGACTTTCGAGGAGATGCGGGACGGGAGGATGGAGAAGTCGCGGACATGTTTGTTGAAGATCTTGTGGGGTGTTTCGCGGACGCGCGCGCGAGATTTGATGTATTGGGTTCCTGGGCGGAGGGCGTAGAGGACAGAGGGGAGGTTGTCGATGGACCAGTGGGCTTGGTCGAGGTGGGGGGATGTGGTGTCTGAGACTGTCCTGTCTGGGGTTCGGGGAGGGTCTGGTTGGAGGTGATTCTCCAGCATGATGGTCAGTGTCGTAGCGACGGTAGGGTGTATGTCTACTAACCTGCTCCTGCTGTTTGTTTGCGATAAGTTGCAATTGCTGTTTGATCATTTTGACAAGTCTGCAAAGTGTGCAATATAAGAATAAGCATGTTCAAGTGAGATGGAAGAGAAACAAAGTAACAGGTTGGTTGTCCGGCTTCATTCACTATTTGCTCAGCATATTGCTCAATCTTTATCCACAATACCAGTTCTCGATCAGGCAGATACAATATAACTTCATTCACTGTAGATAATACCACTGCATTATCAACTACCATACTCCATACCCATACATACACTATACTAACCACAGCCCTATGCATAACATGCATAAATAGCATAACCTAATCCACATGGCACAACTCACTTTGTATACACCCAACACTCCAGAAACACCACAACTCGAAAACACAACGATGTTACGCCTCCTCCAACAACCCCTCAAATCCAAACCCACCCCCACCCCCCTCTACACCCTCTACCTCCCCTGCACCACCAAACCCAACGCCCGCCGCCCATTCCCATCCAACGCCAGCGGCATGGTCACCGGCGTGCGCGACGACGACAAAGTCGACGTGAGCGTTTCCGCGCCCGCGAGAGACGGCGAGGCGAATACTGCTGTTATGAGGGTTTTTGCCAAGGTTACTTCCCTCCCTTGTATATATGTACGTTAGTTAGTTATTGAATGGGTGCTGATGAGAGAAAGGTATTCAATACAGCGCCGTCGAATGTAGAGGTGATTCGCGGGGAGAAGAGCCGGGAGAAGGTGCTGAGGATTCAGGATTTGGTGTTGGATTTTGTTAAAAGGGAGGCAGGGGAGGGGGAGCGGATAGAGGAGGGTTTACGGATTGTTAGGGAGAGGCTGAGGGAGAATTGTTTGTAGATGTTGTACAAGTATGTAGTAGGCGTATGCGGTGGTATTTTTGATACGCGTGACATCACCGAAATTTTCATCGTATTCTCAACATCTTCATCTTCAATCGCATCGCATCCACGAGTACAGAAAAAAGAGAAAATGTCTACACAAGATACCCAACCAGCGACACAACCACAACCACAACCACAAGAACAAAAAACATCGAAACGAAAACCTTCCGACGCGCAATCACAACCACCACCAATCCACTTCACCGCGCGCGATCCCCCATGGACCTATCTCAAACTGCAATTGTACGTCCAGCCTATAAACAACCAGTCTAACGAACTATCACTAACTCGAGAATAGAATATCCCAACCCCAAACCAAAAATGATACCCTTCTCGACCCCCTCACAGCTCGCACATATCTCACCGCCGCGCTCGGCCAGTTCCTCGGTTTAATTGGGACTAGTATTTCGATTGATATCCTTAAAATCGCTTCTTCCTCTACATCTACAGCCTCGTCGACATCAACATCGACTCCTAAAAACATCGTCTGGGTCCGCGTCCCCCGCCCCGACGCTGCGGCCGTCGTTGCGGCGCTGAGTTCGTGGATCGGTGGTACATCTGGGAACGGTGTGGCGTGGAGGGTTTGCGCAAAGGGAAATTTCCTGGGTGCGCTTGTTGCGGGGGATGGGAGAGATTTGTTCGTGCCGTGATGGTCGGTGATAGATGATTCGGGTACTATAATTTGAATGGATAGGTGGTGACGACGGTCAGGCGGAATCGCGCGCTGCTTTAAACCATTCTTGTTGAGGTTCATAACAGTGAGACATGACCGTATCTCATGGGTTCTCAACATGGCGCGTTCTGCTGTCAGGACGAGTCTATCAGCGCAATCGTGCCTAGAGGTATTGCTTCACAGGGCATTCTCCAGTGTGAGGAGAACTACGCAACTGACAGATGGGCATACTCTTATGTCTAAAAGGAAATAAAGCCATAACGCCTAGGGCAACATTGCAGATCTATCTAATATCCAATTCTATTAACAAACTTCCAACCCAGACAAAAGAAATAATCCAAATGCTTTTGCAGTGTCAATCTGTTGTTACTGTTTCAAACAGTGATAAACGCCAAACTCTCTCGCTTAAAGATAGTACAGGCTGAAGTCAGCCTAATGAACAATTTCGACCTTTTCCTCTTTTTTTTTTTTTTTTTTTTTTTTTTTTTTTTTTTTTTTTTTTTTTTTCTTTTCTTTTTTTTTTTTTTTTGTCTTTTCCTCGGGTCTTTTGCTGTTGTTAAAGACTAAACCGAAACGGATTGTTTGCTCCGGGCACTCCTGGAACTCCCATAGATGGTAGTCGTCGACGCAGAAACCGGGATATTAGCCACGACCTTAGTCCTCAAAGCAGATCGAATCTCCTCGACACTTCGGTCCTTCCACTCGGGAAATCCAGTGGTACTCAACGGGTACAACACGAGGTTCTCGTCGCGTGTGGTGAAATCTTCGACTTTGGGCGGTGGCATGGCAGTGATGATGTCCAGTTCTAGGGCGATCTGCCTGCAATATGTATCCAAGGGTAGGTCGTTGACGTCGTGGCCAAAGGGGTTTTCAATTTCACTGCCGATTGTGTCAAGACCCAGGATGATATAGGCGGCGACTGCACTCGTTAGCTTCATATTGAATCACATCCCGGGGCCACTCACTGATGGAAGCTGGGATGGTCACCCATTGCAGGGTGGTGTAGAGTTGAAACGGAAGTACAAGAACGTAGATCCAGGCAATCTGAGAGATGGCAATAGTGTACGCAATCGGCAGAGGCGTATCCAGGACACGTTCGGTGCCTGTGAGAACTTCGTTGAGGGTAGCCAACCCCGAGACTGAAAATTAGCCGAGATCACCCAGATTTCAGATCTTGTACTCACTAGCTTGACCTTGATGCAGGCTGCACGAGAGTGTGCCGTTGTCGATACACCGATCAATATAAGCTGCCAGATGGTTGATAATCTCCAAGGGAAGATGACCCAATGGCTTCTTAGACCGCTTGATCAGTTTTCTAGGGTTGGACTCGGCAAATGAGATTCCCAAGTACTCTCCAGCGGCCTTCCACGAGCTCTTCCTGGGCGGCTTGAGGTTGTTCCTGTCGTGTGCCTCTTTGGCGAACGTATCGAGATGTCCAATCAAGCCTTTGAGGTCATCATAGCCGACGTCCGGTTCGAAACGCAGTTTATGCTTAAGGGCGACGGCGAAGGCAAGGATGAGATTCATGACAGTTCTAGTTTGTCAGTCAATTGTTTGACAACTTATGTGTCCGCACGTACAGCTTTCCCAGCAGATCCTGCTTTCCTTCCTCTCCTTCCCGTTCAGCAGTGTCGATCCAGATCGTTCGAGCGATATTACGAGAAACTTGAATCAGCAGTGACCAGTATTTCCGTCCATCCGCCCATCTTCTATTATTAGTAAACATCTTGCGCAGTAGGGCCGGGGACATACCTTTCATAGGCTGTGGAACTGCGAAACGACAAGGCCAAACCAACGACGAAACCCAGAACGGTCAACAGAATGTTATCGATCCCAACTGCACCAGTCAGTCTATATCCATACTCGTACTACGGAGCAAACTTACGGTTCTGAACAAATCTCGAAATGCACGTAATCAAAGTCGACCAAAGCGCGACGCAAAGAAGCGGAAGGACCAATCGGGGCATGACACTGCCATGCAGTCGCAGGAAGATGGGCCATTTCGAGTGCTTATCGAGGTCTCTGGGGCCATGCTAGATTCTCCGTCAGCCAACTTATTCCAATTTCACTAGCGAGAGAAGTGCATACGAAATATCGATCCACATCCGTGGAATTCCTCCGATCAAGCATGAACTGTCTCTCACGCGAGTCGGCCAAATTCTCAAGAAACGACGGTCGGGGTGTAATACGACGGGGCGGAGGAGGCTCATTGCTCAATTCGACCTGAATATGAGGCTGCGATCTTGTCGGCCCCGCGCCTGGCGTAGGCGAAGGGGAGGGCGAGGGAGTCCCATTGGAGATGACATCGGAAGCGTCACCCAGATTGGGCATTCTTAGGCCGTCAGCCACGGCGGTAGGATATGATGATAGATCTGACAAAAGAAACAAAGATAGAGGAATCAATAGAAGTATAACGAATGAAGAGGTTAAAATAGAAGGTTTCTAGAAACAAAGGAAAGAAAACGAGCGATCACGAATGCGCGAAGAAGCGAAACGAAGAAATGAGAGCGGATCGACTGCACGTAACGGGGATTTGCTGCGACTAAATAATGGCAGCCGGAGCTAATATGAAGCTAGACTGTATTCATCTGGTATAGCCGTTTTGCGAGTGATGCTCTGATACTCTTAAGCACCGTCTCTGTCGAGTTCTGTGCAGTATGCGGTTGGTTGTTGATGAGTGTGCTTGTATAAGTGTAGCTAGAGTATGCAGTCTTTACACTCTGTAGATGTCTCTATGTCTAGGTACTACTGTGCTGTACTCTACGATATGCCTGCAAATATAACCTTCCTAATCGGGACATTGTGCCTGCCAAATCTGCCGTTGTTTCAGCCCTGAATCGACCAATCAGCGCTTGTTTTAGAGCCGCCACACGGGTGCATCTTCGAGATATCATTGGCTAGCAGCACAAGTGGAGCAGTTTAGACCGTTTCTGGAATTAGTATTGGCATCAGTGAAACATTGCAGCTTTTGTACTCACTTTGCCATGTAGAATAGAATAAATGCTGATGGAAGAGAAGCATCTAGGTCTCAATAAAGGAAGTTGAATATCATTCATGATCACCAGCATCTGCAGCCAAATCTCCGATGACATCTCGCTTTCCGCCATACTTGTACAGCTCTCCATGTCCGGTGTTTCAGGTTTTCCCCTTTTCATCCTATATATCCTCTTCTATTCACCTCATGACACAGTCTAGACCGCTATCCTTTACAACCTCCACTATAGATAACCTCTCTCATTGGCACTCGGCAAGATGATGCATCATCGTCCGTCATGACAGGGGAAGGCTTGTCAATCAGTGTCGATTTTGTACTGCATCTGGCAGCTATATCGTGCGAGATATATCTTGGGTGGATTCACACGGGAGATAATGCTGCATGTATGCGGGGTACATTCAGGAGTTGGAATTTTCTCGAAGGTTGTCAGTGAGCTTGGTTGAGATTGAGTCGAATGCGTATCAGAATAATACATTTCTGATGGAAAATTTTTGATATAAACCTACGCAGTATCTTTTCCCTACGCTGTTTAGCATCTTATTTGCCAACTATGATCGCTGTTTACTGGCAGCAGTAGGGTAGAGCATCAGTATCCTGACAACGAAACAATGAAATGACACTACGTACAAGAAAACATGACTAAGTTAATCACTGTAACTAGTTAATTAGTTAACTACGCCAAGCAAAATCCTATAAGCTAACATCCTTCTCATCTTCACATGCAAGTCTCCTACTGCGTCTAACCAACCGTAGTTCCTCTTGTCATTCTATCCCCTACATTCTCCCCATCACGATAGGAAACAGACATCCTCAGTATCTACAACCTGCCAGCCTCCACGTGCCTCGCATTCAGACAAGAAGAAAAAGGAGAGAAAGTAGGCGTGACTGACGAGAAGGGAGAAACGCCCAGCGAATAAAGACAGCATGCCTATGAGAAACCCTGTCAGATCTCGAATCTTAACCCGCATATAATTCCAATAGCAAGCAGTAGTATCGGAGTACACTCTACATGCAGTAGGAGCAGTATTTACCAAGTCCAAGTCCAACCATCTCGAATATTCCAAACGACCAAACCGAGAATCTGGAACCCGAGTATTGGTACAACGGTCCATAAACTAGGGCCACGAACTGGACCTTGTTCAATACATGTGGTCAATGAATCAACCAGAGCCAAGGCATTGGCACAATGGACACCGAGAAATCGATAATCTGCGCATTGACAGTATCTGTACAGTGTGTAGGGAATTCTCCGGTATATTCTCCGATGTCCGAACTATTGTAGGAGGGTACCGATAGTATGACGACAATTCACTGAGCCTCAGAGGGGTAGAAGGATTAGTCCTACCCAAATGAGTAAATAGAGAGATCGAATAGAGATGGAATTCATCAATTTCTGCTGATCATGAAGTAATTCTTCAAAGCTTGTAGAGAGACACCCTGTGTACTCCGCAAACTATTGACAGACTATCGGACACAATAAGGCTGTTGCCATGTATCCTGCAGAAACTAACTAGTGATAGACTTAGACTCCAGTTTTTCTTGGCTGATTTGCTGCCCAGACAAGTAAAGTAGATTAAATACTGCTGATGCCAAGTTAGCGACTAGCATCGTGATGTGCATTTAGCATGAGCGCGAAAAAGTAAACATATCGCACACATCACATTCTCATGCATGATTATAATCCCTGTTATTATAGATCACATTTCGACCTTCCCTGATCCCTGCAGCTGCATTTATTATTCAGGCACAATAAGCATTGTGGGCGATCTTGCATCGAGATTCGAGACCGGGCTCCGGAGGATTTTACCGAGACGCACGCACATATCGGGGGCCTTCTGACTCGTTGCCTATTGGTAAATGTGATGCTGCGGAAAATGTCAAATATATTGCTCTTTCTATTTCTGTACGTATGTCTCATTTTGTAGACTTTACAGAACACTCTAGCATTGTGTATTCGGTGCACAAACGACGAGACATCTCCGTCGCACACCCGAACCTCCCCGGTCTGTGGTTCGGAGTCAATATTTTCTACTTTATTGAAGCTTTTTGTCCTTAAATAATCGTGATATTGAAGGGTTTTTTTCTGGTTTACACAGGAAGGCCCCACCACGGGCACTTGAACGTACCAGAAAACTGGGTATAAGCAATCTGATTATCGCCTTATTCCCTCATGTTATCGATATCGATGTGGATGAGGCTTGCTGCCCGACCCGGCGGATCATGAACCGTGCCGGATGTGAGGTCAGAGTCGAGGCTCGGTTTGATAAATGCGCAATTGGATATGTACCATGGGAAGAGATCGATAGTTAGATGCAAGATCCATTCCGATACAGTGGTACTCTATACAGTAAGTGGTAGTCCAGACGCGTCGGAACGGTGACTAGAATGAAAAACTAGGCGAATCCAAAAAAAAAAAAAAGATGGAACAGACGAGTTAGTATAGTATCATATCGAAAACTGTCAGACAAAGGCATAGAGTTGCAAACTCTGTACAGACAGACAGCCGTTATCTCCATACGGAAAACCGGAGCAACGCTAAACACTGCCCTGAGCGTCGGACCAAATTTGAGCACAACATCAATGATTTGTATAAGGCCCTTGGATTGCATGGCAATTTGCCATGGTTCCAAATCAGTTCCTTTTTGAACGAACCCGGGAACAGGCTGCCATGTCCATAAAGTAACAGGAGACGCGGTGGAGAGAGGATCGACGCAGTGAACCAAGCACTGTTCACGTTGGAGACCTCGGGGCACCTATCCCAACCGAATTGGGAAACAGACCATCACACCATTGGCAATAGACGGGTAGCTAAAAAGTGCTCAATGTTGGCAACATGATTCAGTTGTGAATTTCTCATCAATCGTGTGGTCAGTGCGTGCACCTCCGTACATAATTTCCTGTTCCTGACTGCTGATGCACTGGTGAAGCAGTCCCGTGTTTTGTCAGGGAGTTTAATGAAAGGAGCCTTCTACCCCGAAGTCCTCCTTTATGTGAGGAGATGAGGAGAGTATTTCATAGGACACGTACGGACGGCCGAAGATCATCCGGACCATTCAGCTGCGGCGTGTGATTCGGTTACCCTGGTTCTCCTTGAGACTGTATCGCTTAAAGACATTGGTTGATATCACAAAGCACAGCCGACATCGCGCACAGGCGACGCAATACGCCGTATACAAAACAAAGCAGCATGAAATGACAGGTCCGACGCGAGTTACGGGCAGACCGAGGACAATGGAATTTGATAAGGATAGGCAACTGTCAAGCCACGCGATGACATTCAAAGAACGGGGGCTGACAGTGCCCGGATCGTCGTGGACTGGCATTAGCGGGCAATAATCGTCCTTCTAGCGGGGAGTTAGCGCTCCCCGTAGTGAAGTTTGTACTCCGGAGTATGTGTCGAATGACAAAAAAGGCCACTTGGATTATGCCCAAATAGGAATGAGATGATGTCGCTTACGGAGTGCTTAAGTGTGGTGAAGCATTCGTTTCAGTGTGTCTCCATGGGATTTGTAAAGTCCGCCGGCCAGTGCAATCGTATGCCGATCGGCCATTTCCACGCATACCTACAGATACAGAGGATACCGGCAAGGACTATTACCGGTATTGCCTTCCACCGTCAAACACTCTGCATGATATTCCGGAGTACTCGGAGTATGTACACATGATATACAGAACGCAACTCTCAAAAAAAAAAAAAAAAAAAAAAAAAAAAAAAAACCACATCCTGGTTCCTCGTGGTGACCTGATCCGGTGGGTAAATGTGTGCACTCTGCCACGCACTACAGCATCGTGTCAAAGCTTAAGGTCGATGCTTATGCAGGCTGATTCGCTCGTGGGAGAGACAGAGTGCGTGCCCTAAACATGTCGGCCCAGGGTTAGCAGACCAGACTATCGGCCATTGCATCAAACAATTCCAATTCAGATCGCAGACGCAGAGACTAAACGTGGTGGACCCAATGTACAAACTTCGGATCGACCTATCGCGATGCCTATGCACCACTTGAACCAGGGTTTAATCCTCGGGGGTGCTGCCCCTTTTTGACTCCTTCTGCGAATAGGATCTTCAGTTTCCCCAGTGGACTGAACTATTGGAGCAATTTGTCGCCTGGCCGGATCTCGAGATAGTCCATACAAGCCCACATGGGAATCCTCCAAAGTGCGTGAAAAAAAAAAAAAAAAAAAAAAAGAAGAAGAAGAAGAAAAATGCAAAATGATGGGGAAAAGCCAATCGACCGGTAT